CAAACGAGTACCAGGGACCAATGGTGTCCTTTACTGAGACGGACCTAGACATGGTGCAACATCCACACAACGATGCTTTGATAGTGACCCTCAAGATTAGAGAATGCCAGGTAAGGCATATTCTGATCGAGTAAGGTAGCTCTTGTGACACCATGTATGTCAGATGTTACAAGGAACTTGACCTTCACCGAAATGATTCGAAGCAGTTCGACAGCCCAATGGTCAGGTTCAATGGAATGCCAACATGGCCTCTGGGAGCAATAAATTTGGAGGTACATGCAGCCACCAGGAATGTTAGCACAAAATTTAAGGTAATCGATACCCCCTTCCCTTACAATGCTATATTGGGAAGACCGTGGCTACACGCCATGAGGGCTGTTCCCTTGACACTACACCAATTGTTATGATTTCCAACTAAACAGGGGATTGAAGAAGTCAGAGAGGATCAAGTGCAGGCAAAGAATTACTCCATGGCAGCAATGAAATCCAACTGCAATGTGCGAGAGGCAAGAAAAGTGGAAATTGAAGATGAGGACATGAATAACCTGGATGACGTCAGCAAAAACCCAGTCGACAAGAGTGAGGAAGCCTTGAAGAAGATTCTGCTAAAAGTAGATGAAAAAGAGCGCTTCTTCCTTCTCAGCTCAGGCTTAGCCGAGGAGGAGGAGAGGGAGTTGGAGGCTTTCTTGCGAGCAAACATAGAAGTGTTTGCGTGGATGCCATACGAGATTCCTGGCATTGACCCCAAGGTCACCTGCCATAAGCTCAATGTAGACAGATCGGCTAAATCTGTCATTCAGTGGGCAATGAGGCCGACGTTGATTCATGTGGTGGCAATAGATGAGGAAATAGACAAATTGTTGGAAGCCAAGGCTATTCGGAAGGTGAACTACCCAACCTGGTTGTCCAACATAGTAGTTGTGAAAAAGAAGAATGAGAAGTAGAGGGTCTGCATGGACTTCACCAGCTTGAATAAGGCTTGTCCCAAAGACAACTTCCCTCTACCTAAAATTGATCAGCTGGTGGATGCTACTTCAGGGTATGAGAGGATGAGCTTCCTGGATACTTACAAGGGATACCACCAGATAGCAATGTATCCCTTTGATGAGAAAACGACTGTATTTATCACCCCAAAAGGACTGTACTACTACAGAATGATACATTTCGGGTTGAAAAATGCAGGAGCAACCTACCAGAGATTGGTGATCAAGATGTTCAGACATCTAATTGGCAAAACAGTATAAGTGTACATTGATGACATGGTCGTGAAGACCAAAAAACCTTGGAATCATCTGGCCGACTTGAAGACAGTTTTTGATATCCTGAGAACATATCGGCTCTGACTCAATGCTTTGAAATGCCCATTTGGAGTCGGGTCAGGTAAGTTCCTGGGATACTTGGTTACCAGAAGGGGCATTGAGACAAGCCCAGATCAAATCAAGGCCATTCTTGACTTAAAGAGCCCAACGTCAGCTAAGCAAGTCCAAATCTTGACCGGCAAGGCGGCAGTCTTGAAGAGATTTATCAGCCGAAGTTCTGATAAGTGTAAACCATTTTTTAGTTTGTTAAAAAAGGCTACAAATTTTTTGTGGACGGAAGAGTGCGAAGTCGCTTTGGTCGACTTGAAAAAAATACCTGACAACAGCTCCAGTTCTGTCAAATCCAGTACCTGGGGAAGAACTGTTCTTGTACTTGGTAGTTTCAAAGCACGCAGTGCGTGTAGTGGTAATCAGGAAAGAGAATGAAGAACAAAGGGCAGTATATTATGTGAGTAAAACCCTAGCAAGTGCATTAACCAAGTACTTACCCCTGGAGAAATTGACATTAGCCCTGGTGATGGCTTCGAAAAAACTAAACCACTACTTCCAAGCCCACAAGATTGTGGTACTGACTAAGCATCCTTTGAAGTCCCTGTTGCAACAAAGAGACCTGACAGGCAGGGTAGCTAGATGGGCAGTAGTGTTGGACGAATATGACTTAGAGTTTAGGCCCATAACATCAATTAAAGGCCAGGTTCTGGCCGACTTTGTGGTCGAGTTCACCCCTAGTGCCATCCCGCGTCAGACTCCGATGAGCCGCGGCTTGGGATGTCCAAGGGAGTAGAAAGAAACCTAATTGGGGCCCAAGAATCCTACTCTAGCAAAATAGAAGAAAGAAGAGAAACCAAAGCCCTGCGATATCTACATCGGCGACTCTTTTCGCCTGTTTGTTTATGGAAGTTCGAACCGTCAAGGAGCGGGGGCAGGAGTAGTATTAGTATCACCGCACGAATAATAGAGCAATCTATTCGTTTGGGATTCAAAGCCTCAAACAATGAAGCAGAGTATGAGGCAAAATTGTAGGGTTAAAGTTGGCAGCAACAATGGAGGCCGATGAGGTGGTAGTCTTCTGTGACTCCCAACTTATTGTGAATCAGACAACAAGCGAGTATGTAGCCCGAGATGAACGAATGATAGCCTATGTTAAAGAGGTTGTCAGATTGCTTTCCTTTTTCCAAGATTGCAGGCTACATCAAGTTAGTCGAGATGACAAAAGTCACGCCGACGCCTTGGCCAACCTGGCTAGTGCAATAAAATCGGGAGAGCCAAGGACAATCATGATTGATTACTTGACAGGACCAAGTGTGGAACCTCTAATACCAGAATATGAGGCAATGTGTGTGGAGATGGGTCCAAGTTGGATAGATGCAATAGTAATGTTCCTCAGGGATGGCAAGCTGCTAGATGACCGAAAAGAGGCACACAAGACCACATTGAAGTTGGCCAGGTTCAGCCTAATAGCAGATGGCCATCTCTACAGGGGATCCTTCACTAGACCCCTTTTGAAATATATACATCCCTCATAGGTTGAGGACTTTCTGTATGAGATTCATGAAGGAGTCTGTTGAAGCCATGTTGGGGGCAGATCATTTGCTCATAGGGCCATCACTCAGGGGTACTAGCGGCCCTACATGCAGAAGGATGCTGAAGCCTACGTCAGAAAGTGCGAGAAGTATCAAAGGTTTGCACATTTGATATATCAATCAGTAACAGATTTGAACCCAGTATTCAGCCCTTGGCCATTTGCCTAATGGGGCATGAATCTTGTTGGACAACTGCCCCAAGCAATTGGGTAAAGGAAGTTTCTGCTGGTAGCAACTGACTACTTCACAAAGTGGGTAGAGACTGAACCCCTTACAAAGATTCGAGCTATTGATGTGAAGAACTTTATATGGAAGAACATCATCACCAGGTTTGGGATCCTAAGGGCAATAATAGCAGATAATGGTACACGGTTTGACAGTAAGCTAATCAAAAGCTTCTATGCAAAGTACAAAATTAAGAACTACTACTCTACTCTAAGTTTCCCTCAGTGCAATGGTCAGGTAGAAGCATCCAATAAGACTATCTTGGATGGAATAAAAAAAAGACTGGAAGTAGCAAAAAGGAAGTGGGTGGAAGAGTTGCCCAATGTGCTCTGCGTATATCAGACTACACTGAGAAGATCAACTGGGGAGTCTCCTTTTACTATGGCTTATGGCACTGAAGCAGTTATCCCACCGGAAGTTGGCATCCCTGGAATCAGAACCCAAGGAGTAGAGAATGAGACTAACGATATTTACTTCCTTATTTCCTATTACTCAATAGGCTCAATGAATTCCTGTGAAATATGTTTCTGTTTGAAATCCAATGTGCTTCTCTGTTTTGAAATTACCATCATAATTGATACCCAAGATGTTTGTTTGAAACTGAGACCATTAATATGTGATTACAATTCTATATAATTCCGAATTTCTGTTATAGATTAGCAAGTGAAACCTTATTTGAAGGATTTAACATGTCAATAATGAAATATTTCGATCTGTTTGAAAAATGAGGAGAATTATGAACATTCCTTAAAAGAAATCCCCTGCTATTGGAAGTATATGAACTATAGATTGATGAGTTAAGGTATATAAGTTATGTGATTGATGTTAATAAAGATGGTAACGAATCGCCAACTTGGGCTATGAACCATTGAGTGATTATGAATTAAGTTCAATTTATGTAGGGAAGTCCAATGAAAAGGGAAGTTATGTAGGAAAGGAATGAAATGAGACCAAATTATATGACTGATTTTCAGTACAAGTATCTTAAGTTTGGAGGACCAAACTTCCTAAGGGGGAAGGCTGTAACGACCCAATCGCATATAATGATTAGCACTTAATTAATTAGGGAGATTTGAAATTAATTGCCAATTATCCCAATTTAATCTAGGTTTTACGAAAAGTATGAAGATTGATTCATTTATGATTTTATTAAGTGCTTACTTTGGAATTAGAAATCAAGGGTCCAAATGGCTTAAGGAAGTAAAATTGAGAAGTTGAATCAATTTAATTTTAACTACGGACTCATTTGGGAGTTTAATTAAATATTCGATTCAGTTTAGTAAAATTGAGATTTGATTAATTATGTCCTAATTGGAGTTGATTAAGTCATGAGGATTGAGAATTGTGGTTATTATAAAGTAAATTTGTTTATGATGTGTCCAATTTGAATATGTAATTTATTGATGAAAATTTGAGTCTGATCAAAAATTGAAGGCCTAAATGATTTGGAAAATCAAAATTGATAATGATAATAAATTCAATTTAATATTTGGAGCCTTTTGGGAGTCTGACTAAAAATCTGATTCGGATTGGTAAAATTAAATATAATTAAGTGGGTCTTAATGGAAGTCAATTAGACTAATTAAATTATGTGGGATTTGTAATTATTTATGATTAATTAATTATGTGCTAACTAAGATTTATCAAGACTAAGTGTTGCTTAATTAGAATTGATCCTAAGCATAAATTGCCTTATAGAATAAACAAGAATTGTGGGTGTGGGTGCACTGTGAAATTCAGGTGGGTGTACTGAGAAATCTGGTTGTGATGTGTGTGTGTGTGTGTGTGTGTGTGTGTGTGTGTAAGGTGAAGGCAGCAACTAATATTTATATAAATATATTAATATATGAATTCAAGAAAGTGTGTAGTTTTATTAGGCTCAAAACAACATTTGCAGGAAAAAAAAGGGAGGAAGAACAGCCGAGAGAGAGAGTGGGTTGTGAGTGTGTAGGCTGCTGGGAACAAAAGAAAGCCAAGGAAAAAGCTATGGATTAGAGAGGGAAATGAAGAAAAGAAAAGGGGAAGTAGAGGAGAATCAATTAAAATGCTGAAATTAAAGTTTAAGTATGGATTCACGCTTAATTTTTATAGAATCTTTATGTTATACTTGAAATTAAGGATGAAATTGGAATCAATAGCTAGAAGATGAAGGAAAATTAGCTTAAGAATAAGATTAGGGAAATTAATTTGAAATGGGTTACATGCATGTGGATGGCTATGGAAAATGAATTAGAAATTAATTATTGGAGGTTTGATGTTGTGATTAAATATTTGAGTTTGATTTTCTTCATCCTTCACATATTTGAAGTTTATCATTACATGCATGGTAAGTTTTCAAGATTTTAGAATTTAATTCATATTTTAAAGTTTATGAGCTTGAGATTAATTTGTGATATAAATTAAGAGGTCAAATTATAAATTGAGCTTGATAATGTAAAATTGGTTGGATTTGATAAGTGTTTTATACATGCATCATGGATTTTGAGGAATTTAAGATAAACAATTTCATGTTTTGAAGAGAAGAAGGAAGGAATTTTATAAGAAAAATCAAGTTTATGGAAATGTGGGGGTTAATCCTAAAGTTAGACAAGTTCTTGATTTTACTATGAAAGATTGGAATTGGTTGAATTTTAATTCAAAAGTTTTATTCAAATTAAAGAGTATGAGTTTATGAAAAATTAAACATTCATTTAATTTTGAATATAGAAAATTAATTAGTTTTAATCTTAATGTCATACATGCAAATACGTTCCTAAGGGTCACATAACTTCAATTTCATGTACATTAAAAGGAATTAGTAAAATGGTGTAGAAATTGAATTAGATTCAAAATTATAGAAGTTAATTTAAAGATAACCATTTTGGGTTTGGATTTATTTGTCTTATATGAAATTGAGTTTCAATCACACATGCATCATAAATTTGCAAGAGTTTTGGGAGTCTAATTCATGTTTTAAAAATTTGTGGGTTTGATGGGGAGAAAATGAGTTAAAACTAAATTTGGACAAGTGGAGCATGATTTTGAATAAATGATTTCTAATTGAGAGTGTTTACTAAATTATACAACGATTCTCCATTTTTGTGAACCAAAAATACATGTTTTGAGGCTTTGAATACCAAATTTGAATTTAAATTGCAATTCTGGAATTTCCAGAATTTACGTTATCCACTAAAGCGAGGAAAGTCTCGCTCGAGTGTGGAAATCGAGCTCCCAGAAGTTTTCAAATTTTACAGTCCGCTTGAGCAACCAAAGCGGCGCTCGAGTGGAGACCCATTTTCAGCATATTTTGGAAAAATTGCATCTAGTTCACATTTTTATTCTCATCTCTTTTCAAGGCATTCTAGACATGATTTATGACTCAATAAAGATTAATAAGCTACCAATCAACATAAATTAGTTAGTTAAAGAATGAATCATTGATCTAGTGGTAATTGTTTAAGAAGCCAAGTAAAATATCAATCTATTTGGAAAAGAAGGGCTTAGTAATGAAAGAATATGTGAAATAAGAACCCGGTCTATTTGAATGAGAAAGAATAAGTGTAGTAGAACTTCGGACTATTTAGACAGAAAAAGACTAGAAAAGTCAAGTTTGATCAAGGGAGTAATATTATATTTCAATGTGTATATGTTATGTGCTTGTGTAGGTCACGCGCCATTGTTTGCTTGATTTATCTGATATGTCCAGTCTGTCTGATTTGCTTCTGCAGCCATCTGTGAGTAATAACTTAGTAAAGTTATGTTTAACTGTACTTATTTTCTGTGTGACAAAATGAGATCTGTTTCCTGAAATGATATGTTCTGTACAATGAATGATTGTCCAATTTCTGATATCTATTCGTGACATCCTTAGCATCATGTGATATCTGTTACTTGTTACCCGGTATTAGAGGTTCCTTTATGAAACTTAATCTGTCAGCACTCTGTTACCCGTACCGGAGGCCCCGTTATGGAGGCTCAGCTTCTGTTCTGTTACCCGGATCCTGAGGTTTCTTTACGGAACTGGTTATTCGTAACCTCACGTGTATACGTTCTGTTCTGTTCTATTCTGTTCTGTTAATGCTAATGGATGTATCACATATGCTTACGCATGACTTACAATTTCTGTCTATTTATGATCTGGACAAATTATGACTTCGATATGAAACTGAGTTATGATTTTCAAATCTGGTATGGATATCATTCATTAAAACCCTTTACTCTGTTATTATTCACTGGGCTTTAACTCACTGTATTATTTATGTATGTAGGTGATCAGATGCGTGACCAGGCTTAGAGGCATCTGCCTAGGATCTGTTTTTGTCAGCCAACCTATGTGCCTCCTATGGAGGTTTCGGATATGTCAAGTGATTATCGCTATGTGATTTAAAGTTTAAGTTCATTTTTTTCTTGTTTGGTTAAACAAGTCTTGTGTATTTTCAAAAAGGGGCTAAGTCCTTTTTGTCTGATATGTATATATATCATGACGTAGGGATGATGTGTATATATGTGCATAAAAAGTTTTAAAAATTTTCTGTCTCATATAAGTCTGAACAGCTCAATGGACGTTGTATATTTGTTATCTGCTTCCGCTAGCCCCTTATATTATGTTAATTTGTCTCAGAGGCCTTCGGTAATAATCCCAGGATTATTGGCCGGTTACGATGCTAAACCTATAGGAGCAGGTTTGGGTCGTGACAGAAACGGTTGAAAAGACCGTGCATGACAGCTCATGCGCAGTTGGAACTCTTGGAATTCTTGAAATAATGATACTATAACCTCGGCTAAAGGAAGGATCTCGGTTGAGACATTTAAAGAACTTGGCCCTTAGTTCCTGATCCTTGATAAAGATGGACAGTTAAGACCTGGGTACTTGAAATCGACAAGTCATGAACTCGGTCGAAAGGAAGAATGAATTTTAGTCGACATAAAATATGAACGAGCGATATAGGTTTCATTACCTCAAGTTGCTAAGGTAATAGAACCTAAGGGTAGTTGTGGGGACATATTTTGTGAATGACAGCACGTGGCCAAGGTGACGCCGAAGTGTCAGCCGAGGTGCCACATGGCATGATCCTGATGCCGAGGTGATCTCAGCTAGACTGAGGTTATCTACGGAGATATCAGAATCCGAGATAAGTAGATAAGGGATAAGAGTCCTAGAATAGGGGGAGGATCTTAGTCTGGATAAAGATAAAGCTTTTAGGGAGTTTATCCGTATCTAGCTGAGAGTCCTAGATGAGCATTGAGCCTAAGTCCACTAAAGTGAGACTTTTACAGGAATCAGATCAGTACTGGCTATAAAAGCAGGGCACCCCCGTGGGTCTCAGGTATGTGTGATATACTGTGAGAAGTAAGTTCTTTTATGTTGAGTTTTGAGTATTCTTTGCTATCTTTGAAAGATATTGATTACTGACTTGATCGTCGGAGTGCCCCAGGTAGACGAACCACCGCCGAATTCTCATCTTCTAGTGTAAGTTGTTGTGCTTAATCTATTATGCTGGTGCTCTCCAGTTGAGCTCCCCATTTGGTTGTGTGGTCAAAAATCAACACCCACAAAACTCAATAACTCTTGATGTATAAAAATATATTACATATTGATATTGATGCATTTTTACACCAATAGTGTGCAAATAATATACAATAGTGGATTCAATGAATTTGTATAATGAGATGAACTATTAAACAAAATTGTGTAATTGTGTAATTAATTTCATACCTTTAATTGTATTACAGGTATGGATTATGAAAAATTAAAGTGGGAAGTTAATAGAATTTTTTTTTGTGTAATACTAATATTTAAAGGACATATTTATTATTTTTTGTTTAACATAAAATTGTGATCTTAACAATCTAATTATAAATTAATATTTATATTTATAAAATTCTCATTTATTATTTAAAATTTTAAGCCGAGTATCTATTCAGTTTTTGCTTAATTTTATTTTAGATGTAGATTAATTTATCTATACAAATCTCCATACTTTATATACATATCGCATATCAATTTAAGAGACATACATAGTTACAATACTAATAATTAATAAAAAATTACATGTCAGATGCAATGCACATACCCAATCATTAATTCAGATAAGTGGCTGGATGTATACGGGAAGAGTGGGAAGCAACACAGTGAGGTTCATCTGGATTATTACTAGAAATAATATCTGTAAACAGTTGGATTGAGGTGTACATTATTGGAGGACAGTTCCATTAAGAAGTCTCCCATATCCATAATGTCTTTCTAGACATCCCAAATTGTTAGCCCGACAACATGTTGATTTAAATTTAATCAACATCAAGTCTTCGTCAATTCAATTAGTTTATAACTAAAGATGACTTTCATACTCGCATATACTTGAGAATTAAGCGAAGTGTTTTGAAAACTTGGACACCATTTTTTATTTTATTTTTTATATCTAATTATTAGGTGCTGAGCCGCCAAACGTTAACCTAATCTGTTCCAACATTAAATCCAAAAAATAAAATAAATTAAAATAATAATAATAATAATAAATATTTGTATATTTGTTGGTTGCCGCCAATGGGGAATAAAAATGTGCATAAAAAAACATAAATGACACGTCTGAAACGTGTGAGTTTGTCACTCCTCCTACCTACCAACTCTCAAAATACCCAATAGTACGCTACACAACACGACGCCAACCATTAGAGCCACTTCCTTTTTTTTTTGATTCAACCATTAGAGCCACTTCACCACTGCTGGAGAGGGAATTTATTTTACATAGAGGATGGTATTTATGCGGTAAGTGAAATTTATTTTAAAAATACATAATCATTTTGAAAGGTTATGAATATTTGATTAACATAATGTTTTTACATAAATTATCAATTTGAAAAATTTTAGAGAATGAATGATTCAAATTATTGAAGTGAATCACGTGGGCTCACACTGGTCCGCAAGTACAATCTACAATCTAATTTTTACTTGTATGGGTGTGTATTTAGAAGTGTAAGTGGTGGATGTGTTCTTATATTTTATCTTTGTAATTTTTTTTTTAGAAAAATTATAAATAAAAAAAAATCTCAGAATTTGACACTTCTAACAAAAAAAATACTGAGGCCTCGTTTGGGAAGCAGCCCGTTTAGTCAAAAAGCCAAAAAATTACTAAAAAAGTCAAAAGCCATCAACCCATATTAAAAAGTTAAAGATTTTCTTTTCTCTCTACTTTTTGCGCAATTTTTAGTAAAAAATCAAAAAGTCATCCCAAACATATTAGTTTTTTTTAGCTCATATTTTAGCCAAATAGCCAAAAAGTTACTAAATTAGCATGTTTCCAAACGAGGCCTGAGTTTTTTATTTTATTAATTTAAATTTTAATATTTTAATTTGTTTTTAATTTAAATTATCTTTTCATTAAGTAAAACTGATGAGAAAATTATATATTAGTCACTAAACCTAATGTAGATTGTACATGAAATGTCTAAAATATCATTTTTCACTGACTTTAATGATTAATATATATATATATATATATTTGTCAATTTTACTTAATAAAAATAAATAGATAATTTAGATTAAAAATAAATTAAAAGATTAGGGTTTAAATTGACAAATTAAAAATTTTATTTTGTTACAAAAGGGGAGCTTTTGTTTGCACTTAGGGATGTAAAAATGGCCCGCGGCCTGTGAGCCCCCCGAAGCCCCCCGCGGCCTAGGGTAGGCCTGGTTAGACTTGGGCCGTCATTTTGAAGTCTAACCTGCAGCCCACTCAAGGCCCATTCAAAGCTCACCCTGAGGCTTAGTATCATTTTTTGTGGAACAAAATAAAATTTTGGTAGAAAAAATAGAAAATAATTTCAAAAAACTGTTCAGGCCCTGCCCGAGCCCGAGCTCGAGCCCAAACCCAGCCTATCGGCCTGTCCAAGGGCCCAAATACCTCCCGGACTTGGGCTTAATTTTTTGGCCCGTGGTCCGACCCAGCCCAGTCTAAATTTTGACGGGAGCCCACGCGGCCCAATATGGGCCAGCCCAAGCCTGGGCTCGGGTCAGTCGGGTAGGGCCAAATTTACACCCATGCATCCCAAAAAGTAGGTTGGGTATCCAATTTAATGATATATTTTTATTACTATTTAGTCCTTATTTTATATGACCAAAAAGTACTTGACTTTGGAAAATGTGTACATAAAAGTATTTTGGACACCTATTTATTATCAATTCCAATATTCCTTTTCTCTCTTATCTCCCTACTTTCATCATTTTGCATCTTCATACCCAACCCTAACCCAACCCTATTTGCTTTAATCTATTATTATTGTATTCTATTTCATATTGAAATTAGTAATGGGCAATAAAAAAGACGTTTGCAAGTAATTTTTTTTATAACTTTTTAATTGTTGTTAATCGTTTTTCGTAGGTTGGTTTTCCGAATTGATTCGGAATTGAGTATCTGAACAAACTTCATACGTTCGGAATTAAGTATCCGGACAAATATATTTTGTTTGGTATTGAGTGTCTATATAAAATAACTTGAACCAATTTTCTTGTGTTCGACACTGAGTATCCGAATAAAGTTCATATGTTTTGAATTAAGTATCCGGACAAATATATTTTGTTCAGCATTGAGTATCCATATGAAACAACTGGAACCAATTTTCTTATATTTGACACTGGGTATTCGAACAAATTTTGTAGTTTCAGAATTAAGTATCCGAATAAATATATTTTGATTCACTGAGTAGGAGACTTTTGCCTCGGATGAATTCAAAATCTCTTGGAATTCCAAAGATCCCAAATATGGTTTGATTTTGTTCATTTGTTTATAGGTAATGGGTGCGGATTTGTATAGGATTTCAAGGTTATTAGGGTTAAGATATGTATTATTTGAGGTGTTCAAATAAATAAATAAAATTTTAAATTTATTATTGAGGTGATCAAAGTAGTAGGGGGTGCTTTGACAACCAAATAAAAAGTCAATTTTTAGCTTTTTACTCATTTTAAGTCATATCACATCTCATATTTTTTATTCGCAAAAAGACAAAATACACTAAAAAAGTCAAAAAATTGATTTTTTACCAACTTTTCAAAACACCACTAGCTACTCAACCTACGTTTTGAGTGCAAATAGATCTTTACAAGGGTTAAGTATTAGATTTTTTTTAATTTTTTTTTTATTTATTGTCCATTGATTTACAATTTTCTCTATAATATTTATATATATATATATATATATAATTTCAATTGAGAGAGAGTGTGTTACAACTAGAACTATGCGTTAAATGGAGGTTTAAGGGGAGGGTTTAGGTCTACCAACTGGTGGTTAGCCTTTGAAACCCCAAGCCTCAAGCAAACAACTTCCACAAGCCAACCAACAACTACTATGAGAGAGAGAGAGAGAGAGAGAGAGAGAGAGAGAGAGTTCTAAGAGTTGTTTGAAGAGCTTTAATTTGGGCTTTGTACTCTTGTCTCCACGTGTGAAAGGTGGAATAATTGACATAGAATATAATCAATTAAATATTAATAATTCAAGCAAATAAGGTGGTAGTTAATTCTTCTTCTTCTTCTTATTATTATTAACCTCTCTGATTTTTTATGATTTTAATATTCGTTGTAGTCGTTGTTCAATGATAAGGAGGTTGTTGTTGTTATTGTGATCTCTTGTAAATCGTTCTTGTCTCCGTTTTGGGTGGTATTGGGTTCAGAGGATTGGGGCCTCCTCTGCTCTGTCAAGTCTCTCTCTCTCTCTCTCTTGTGCTCTCCAGTACAGAGGGCACACATACATTACCTTCTTTTCTGGGGCTTTTCAGGTAATTCCTCATCTCTTGCCTTTTTTTCTTTTTGCTTCCTTGATTATTGATGTGATGATTTGCTGGGTCTGGTTTCAAAAAGTTGACTTGATTGTGTTTCTGATGTGGGTATTGTGTTTTACTGTATGAACTTCATGATGTGCTACTGATAATGATTACATATTCACTAGAAACAAACAGATTCCTCAGAAAATTTAATTTTCTCTCTCTTGGGTTTGTCAATTGTGAAGCATTTAACTCTAATTGGCTCTTAATTTAATGATGTGTTCATGATTATTCGTAATTTGATAGAATTTCTGATGTGGGTTTTGAGTTTTATTATATGAAATGAACTTCATGATGCTGCTGATAATGATTACAACAAATCAACTGACTCCAAAAGAAAATGAATTTTCTCTCTGTTGGTGTTGTCAATTGTGAAGTATTTAACTCTAATTTGCTTTAAATTTGATGTGGGTTTTGAGTTTTGAGTTCAATTGTGAGCAAAAGTTGCATGATCTAGCTCTCAAGAGGGAGAAAAGAGACAAGGGCTTACTAAATACTAACCAAAATAGATCAAATTTTCGTGTTCTTTTTAGTCTGCAGTTAGGAACAATATAAGCATATGGTTCAATCTTTTGCGATTGCTATAAAATTTAGGGGAAAAAAAAAACCATGCAAACCTACTCATTTAAGCTTTATTGGGAAACTGAATTTTCTTTTTTATTTTGTGTCATCATCTCCAAAAAGTGGTCATTCTACCTTGGAAGGTGCTGGTAATGGTTTGTTTTTAAAAAGCTCTTCTACTGGTAGATTCTGAGGCAGAGAAAGAATAACATGGCTACTTTCTACTCAAGTTTAAGCAATCCAAGAGACGTCTTTCCGGCTTCATATCTACGGGACCAGAAACTTGCTTCTAATCCTGAACCGCCTCATCTTCCTCACAACATGATGTATCCAAACCAACCATCTAATGGGTCCTATTCAGAGCTCTTCTCTGGGAATTCTCTATCACTTCATGACTGTGTTCGAGGCCCATCTGCCGGAGCCAGAGGCGAGGGTGAACCTGTAAATGTGGAATCGACCCATGGCCAACTAAATGAAGATTCCCAGATGGTTTCAAGAACGCCGGTCTATGTTATAGATGGTGAACAAAATTTAATGTGCCAAGGATTGTCGCTCAGCCTTGGGACTTGGCTACAATCTGGAGTTCATACACCTTCATTGCAGTACCAATATACTGACCCAAGTGCTTCTTTGATGAGCTCCCATTTTCAAGCTGAGAACGGTTGTCAAAATAAAGAATCAAGAAATGATGAATACTTGTCATATAATTTACCTGGAGGCACGCACAACACGATCAAAGTGGGGGCTTTGAACAACGCATATTGCTCGGTGGGCGCTAATGAAATGCATTCTAGTCCTCATATGTATGAACCGTCAAATCTTGTTAGCACAATTTTTAACTCTAAATATCTCAAGGCAGCACAGCAATTACTTGATGAAGTAGTTAATGTTCAGAAAGCTCTGAAACAATCTCAGACTGACAAACACAAAAAATCGGATGAATTTGGTCTTCATGACGACAACGAAATTGACATGAAAGTGAAGGGGGATTCTGCTGATCCCCACGAGTCAACTACCGACCACTCTTCTGAACTTTCACCATCAGAACGACAGGATTTGCAGAACAAGTTGACAAAACTTTTGTCCATGGTGGATGAGGTTAGCCTAATACTTCTGTTCTCCATGTTTATGATTTCCGTCTTCGATGTGGATGCCTATTTATTTATGTGGCTGGTGATTCTGTGGACTTTGGTACAGCTTTTCCTTCTATTTGCTAAGTAAAAACCACATAAATGGTTGTGGATTATAACCAGTTGCAAATTTAGCCAATTGTTGTAGTTTCTTTATCCTTTTGATTCTTTGAAATCCATCTATATTGATTTTGTTTTAAAGTGCTTTCGTTTAGTTTAGTTCTTTAAAAATCGTGCTTCCAATGTCTAATTACTTCATTATAACTGTACTTGTTCAAAAACATTTAGGTTACCGTACACACAAACCAATCTACGGTGGTTTTTTTCTACAATATTAATCTAGTTGTAAGGCACCATACACTAACACGATATTTAAGTTGCAAAGGACTATATCCATCCAAATGAAGTTCATACGTTGAACACTATTTGGGATCTTGCTCAAGTGTCAGGTTGGGGATGATGAGAACTTGGAGGTTGATGACCTACTACGATCTTTGAGGATACCCTTCTGTCCTTGGTTTGCTATGTCGAATGTTAATTATTCTGAATTAGATGATCTTGGTTAGGGGTTACATCTAGAGATATTGCTTATTCATGGTTGATAGTACACTATTCATCATTGCACTCGCGATACTGCAAAACTTCTAATTGGTAGGTTTTGATGCTGAAAATCATCTTATGCTAGGATTTCTCTTGATTATGATCTTGTTGTAGGTAGATAGAAGATACAGGCAATATTACCATCAGATGCAGATTGTGGTTTCATCTTTTGAAACGGTAGCTGGATGTGGTGCTGCTAAACCGTACACAGCCCTTGCCCTCAAAACAATTTCTCGCCACTTTCGTGGTTTGCGTGATGCAATCAATGGCCAAATTCGAACTACCCAGAAAAACTTAGGGGAGCAAGATGCTACGCGTGCTGGTCAAGGAGGATTACCTCGTCTCCGCTATGTGGACCAGCAACTCAGGCAAAAAAGGGCGCTTCAACAGTTTGGCGTGATGCAACATTCTTGGAGGCCTCAGAGAGGACTTCCTGAAACTTCTGTTTCAATCCTTCGTGCTTGGCTTTTTGAGCATTTCCTTCATCCGTAGGTTCTTGAATATCTTTTTCCTCTATTTTTCACGTACTAATTACCAAAATACTTGTCTAATTATTTCTGATTTTAATGTTTCAACAGTTACCCAAAGGATTCAGAAAAGATCATGCTAGCAAGGCAGACGGGGCTAACCAGAGGCCAGGTACGACAGAAAATGGAAACTTATTTATGCTCTATTTGTTTAAGCGGAAAAAGTTTTTTGCATTTTCTTAAATTTGGTACGACAAAAAACAAAAAAACAGAAAACATTTTCTATGGTTAAAATAAAACAAGCTTATTTGAACATAAAATATTTTTCACTTTGAAAAGGTGAAAATTATTTTATGGACTAAAGTCTTATCAATGGCACCACATTACTACCACCGCCACGACCACTAGCACATAAGTTTCAAAGTTGCGACTAATCATAGGAAAACATTTTATACCGGAAACGTTTTTTTGGAAAAAAGTTTTTCTTAGCGAACATTTTCCTTTAGAAAATGTTTTTCTCCGAAACAAACGGAGCGGTAGTTGCTCTTTTATCAATACCTTAATAGGTACTAGGTGGACTTATTTTATTGTCCACATCATTTTTTTGGCATACTCATCGATCTGATGTTTTAATCAGGTTGCAAACTGGTTTATAAATGCCCGGGTGCGTCTCTGGAAGCCGATGGTTGAGGAGATGTACAAAGAAGAGTTTGGTGAGGTAGACTCCAAATCTTCACCCGAAAATGCATCCAAAGCAGCAAGAGACAAGTCATGGCCATCTGAGGATATGGTTGAAGAGTTGCAAGAAAGCACGACGACCAAAGCTGCAGATGGTGGGCAGTTGGGCCAATTCGATGACTCAAAGTCCGATCTTATCCCTGATGTGGGAATGCAGGGGTGCACGGCAAGACTAGGCTTTCAGAACGGTGCTTGTGGAGATAACAACATTGATTGTTTGCAGGATGACCAAAGACCTAATATGGATAACCATAATCTCTTACCGGATGGGATTATCAGTGCTTCTGCTTCGTATAATATCTCGGAGTTGGGTAATTTTTCAGTGGGCGAACACGTGTCGCTCGCTTTGGGGTTGCGGCATTGTGAAAATGATTCTCTGTCCATGTCCGGTGCGATTCAATTCAGAGGGGATTTCACAGCAGCTTCATCTGTGGGCTATGACACATCCGTTAAGCCAACAACGTATGATCACTAGCCCCCCACCTGTTGCCATATTTTTGTGCCATGAAAACTGATTTTCTGCTATTTTGCGATTGACAAATCAATCTTCTTGTGAGGAGGAAGCCGTAGTACGATAAGAAGGAAAAAATCAAAAAAAAGGGAAAGCATGGAAGAATTGCATTAGTTTGCCTTTCATCTTGTTTGTCAGCCCATTGAAAATGGAAATAAGCAGTGTAAATATGGATTATTGATATGGGCTTAAATACATACCATATGTTGTCTGTAATATAGCAAAAAGTTTGGTAAGATTGTAAAGATACAGTATGTGTATACATCTATGTAATTTTGTTGAATAAGGAGACTTGTACACTAGAATAAGTGTGGCATTCATGTACCATCTATTTTGAAATAAATTTTAGTATAACCCCTCCAATGTGAAGTTATTTACTTCATTCCTTAACATTCAGATTACAATTTTTCATGTGGCACTAGTGATTATAATCACAAAAATAATTAACTCTTCTAGGGCTATTATGAAATCTCTCACTCACTCATGGGTGCTTTGAATTTTTGGAGACAGGTTTCCAGTGGTATTATCTTCCCTAATAACCATTAATGGATTAGAGGGTCCTGTTTTTGGGGTGGTGGTGTCCCATTCAACGTCCATTTTGATTATTTAAATAGTTGAAAATTAAGAAAAATATAAACAAATGAGAAATAGAAAAAATATTTACAAATTCAGAAAAGTACAACATTCATTTGCACAATTTAATACATAAATTACTTGTACTCTCATGATTTGCAATTATTTTTTTAATTTCTCACTTTTTTGATATTCTTTTTTTTAAATTATAGAATTTGATATGACATAAATAACTATATAATTGAATCACACATCTTTAAAAAATGATTGTAATTTGAGAATAGATAGTTTATTATTTTCATATAATATTAAATCATCTAATTATGAATATTATTTGATTAACTTATTTTTTTATATGAATAATTTATTTAATAAATTTTATAAATTAAACGGTTCAAATTATCAAAATAAACTCAAAGTGGAGGCGAAAAACTCCAATTCAACCTTCCATCCATTTAAGGAACTAGAGACTTCCATGGTGGTCAAGCTTGTATGGATTGAACAGGCATGGTCCGTGTCCGTAAATTCATCACGAATTTCCATTTAATGATTTGATTGGTAAGTTTTTGTGCATAGATTATTTATAGGAAATTAAATTGATTTGATTATGAATCTTGTTAAAGGCACAAATTAAAGATGTACTAAATAATTTCAATAATCTCTATTTATATTGGGAAGATAAAACAAAAGTAAAAATAAAATTGATATTATTAAAAAATTATTTTTTCCCCCATTTGTGTTAGGACAAAAACACAAAAACTACAATGTAGGTTTTTTTTTATTTTTTATTTTTAACAGTACTCACACAGTGAGAGCCCCTCAACATATTTGTGTTGCAAAATAAAACTTTTTGGTTGCAAAATATTTGTATTTGGTTGAGTTTTAAAAATTAAAAATTAGTTTGATACAAAAATAAATACAAAAGGATATTGTTAAATTATTTGTTTCTCAAAATAGAAAATTATATAAAAATACTGAGTGTTTATTCGTTTTTTTTTTTTTTTTATCAAACTAATTTTTTAATTTTAAAAAAAAATTCTAAATATTCAATCAAATTAATAGTGTATTTTAACAAATTTAAATTAAAATTCCAACAAAAACTCAAAAAATGGTAACTATTAACACAATCACGATTCATGAACAAAAGTTAGCCGTCTATTTTCATTTGAACGAGTTTTGGGTTGAAGATTTTACTTTGGAGCTTCTTAATGCACTGTCTATTAGTATTTTTATACATAAATAAGTTATATATAATTTTTCTATTATGTTCTTACAAAAAAAAAAAAATACAAAAAATAAGAGATGATAGGAAGAGATAAAATAAAATAAAATAAATAAATAAATGGACAATTTGGTCTCATTATAACAACATTTATTGAGTTGAGACAATTTTTAAACTTTTTATTCTTCCTGTACAAGTAGGTGCAACTATTCTCATTTAATACTTCCTTAGTCATATATTAACAAAAACCTTTGATTATTATATTTATGGGGTAGAAATGACTCACTTTATAAAACAGTAGTTTAGAAATTAATTATTTTAATAAGTTTCTTGTTTTTTTACAAAAATACATATAAAAAAAAAGAGTGATATGATGTGATAATATGTAATATTTTTTGACTAATTAAACAAGGCCAAAGTGTGTCATGCCTACAAATTTCAAAGAGACCTTTTTTAGTCAAGAAAAAATAAAACCATGCATTTCTCGTAATACAAGGTAGATAATATCTTAGTACGTGTTGCGATAATGTATTCGTACAATATCTTTGTGTGTGTTATGAGGTGGTCCATACAAACGGTGCCATATCGGGAAATCTAGCTCCACCATGCACACTCGGCAGCTGATGTGGTGGGGGTAAAAATCTATCAAAAATCAGTTCGCACTAGGCACTCACAAATTTTTAAGAGACATTTTCTCGTGGTGTTATGTGCTTCAACAGTGGAGTGGTTCATATAATTAAAGTTGTATATAATATGATCTAATTTGTACTGATATGTATTAATCCGTAACGTTTAGTTTACTAATTGCGAATTAAATTTTAAATTTTATAATCCGTTTTTGAAATCGCTCTGCTCCGCTATAATTAATACATATATATCTTTTAATGTCTAATGAAATATTAAAATAAAAATGAGTGTAAGAGAGATTTAAAATATAAAATTTGTTACAAATTAGTAGTTATATATATAAAAATATTATATAAAATTAGTTTGTTTTATATATATGAAAAATATTATGTAAATTAGTATTATATATTAAGCAAATGTTTGATAATTAGTCAGAATATTTTTCAATCCGCTAATCTATCCAAAACAATAATTTTTTAATCGGCCATTCATTACTTTCAAAATGCTCGAACCGCACTGTGCACATCCCTACATACAATATTCATATTATGTTATTAATTTTTTTTAAAAAAAATAATCAATATAATTTTAAATTTATATTCAAAATTAATTTAATTTTGAACAAAATAAATTATTAAATATTCTATTTAATACTCAAATGAGTGTAACTCACACCACATGGGAACCCATAAATTTATGAAAAATTTACTTATAAATCCCATCTTGAGGAATGGTGATACATTTAGTCCTAAAGATTTTCTTATAGATCAATTAATCCTATTATTTTTGGAAAGATAGATTCAATATATTATTTTAAAATTAGATTTTACGGTTATATTCTTATTTCTATTATGTTCTCTCTCTCTCTCTCTCTATATATATATATGCTAGAAAGGTAAGATACACAATATATGAAGATCAAATTTATGATGAATTTTTATATAAAAATCTTTTTTATTTGGAAAACATTTCAAAAGGAATACAAAAATGATTTAAAATATGGAATTATTCAAACATTCCAAGAGGATGTGAAATTTTTTAAACATTTCAAAAAGAGTACAAAAACTACTTGGTAAGGTTTGGTCAAATGTATAATTTCAAACTGTAATACTCCAATGTAACACTCGAACGTACCACTCGAAAAAAAATCTTAGTACAATATCCTAATGTAACACATAAAAAAACTCCTTATTATACTTTTTTCAAATGTAACACTCCAATATAGCATTCCAAAAAAACTAACATTCTAATGTAGTATAAAAGAATTTCTTATTGTAACACTCTAATGTAACACACAAAAAAACTCCGTAGTGTTTTTTTTTTCCAAATGTAACACTCTAATATAACACTCTAAAAAAACTCCTTAGTGCAACACTCTAATGTAACACACAAAAAATTCTTAGTGTAACGCTCTAATATAACACAAAAAAAAAAAAATTTGTGTATTTTTTCAAACAAAAAAAAATTCTCAGTATACTTTTCCCGAAAGTAACATTCTAATATAATACTCTAAAAAAACTCCTTAGTGTAACACTCTAATATAATACACAAAAACTCGTTAGTTTAACATTCTAATGTAATACACAAAAAAATTTCTTAATATACTTTTTCCAAACGTAACACTTCAATATAACACTATAAAAACATTTATTAGTGTAGCACTTTAATGTAACATACAAAAAAAACTCTTTGGTGTACTTGTCCCAAACGTAATGCTCTAATGTAACCAAAATAAAAAAATAAAAAAAAATTCTTAGCATACTTTTCCTAAACGTGACACTGCAATGTAATATTAAAAAAAAAATGATTTGGACCTCTAAAAAAACACCTCTAATGCACCTCTAATTTGTCTTTTTCTTCTCCTATTTTTGTCTTTTACTTCACTTTTTTTTCTTTATTCCCGGACAGCTCATTAGAGCTGTACGGCAAGACCTCTAATTAGAGGTCTGCAGCAGGATTGATATTAAAAAAGAAAGAATGTGAGATCCAGTTTAAAAGAAGTACAAATATTCCTTAGGCTGTGTTTGTTTTCAGATGTAGAATGGAGGAGATTGATAGTGTGGGGATTGATAATGATGGGATTAAGTAAAATTGTGTTTGTTTTGATGATAGTTGTTGGTGTAGGGATTGTTAAATTATTTTTATGTAAAATAAATGTAAAATAATGAAAAAATACAAAAACATTAAACATTAATGTTTTAAAAAAAATGCCCAACATGTAAAAAATTTTAAATAAATAAATAAATTTCAAAAACAATAAAAAAAATAAAATAATGATTTTTATTTAACAAAAAATACAAAAAATTAAACATTAATATTAAAAAAAAAATGCCCAACATGAAAAAATAAAAAATAAAAAAAAAATTAGTCCGGCGAACTATTTTTACAATACTAAGTCTTGGAGGCCCATCCGAATCCCCTCTCGAAGAGGATTCATAATCCGTAACTTACTATCAATCCCTTCCCCATCTCTGAAAACAAACACAATGTTAATGGGTCTCACCTCACTGCCAATCCCAATTCCCTCTCTAACTCTCCAAACAAACGGTGCCTTAGTAAGTTTTGGAAAAATGTACAATTTCAAATTATGAGTGTTACATTTGGAAAAAATACACCAAGGAGTTTTTTACTATTTTTGTGTGTTACATTAGAGTATGTTACATTGAAGTGTTACGTTCAGGATTATACTGATTGAAGTGTTACGTTGAAGAAAAGTACCCTTTTTTTTGTTACATTGGAGTAACGTTTGGAAAAAGTACACCAAAGAGTTTTTTTTTAAGTATTACGTTGTTAAGTTTGAGAAAAATATACCAATGAGTTTTTTAGTGTATTATATTGAAGTATTACATTATTGGAATGTCACATTAGAGTGTTAGGTTTTTGTTCATAATGTGAGATTTATTAAAGAATGAGAGAAAATTCAAAACTTCTATAGTGCAAATTTTCCAAATATGT